TGTTCACCGGTCATGGCGTGCGCCTTTATCGGGGCGGCTATCGGTATGCTTTCACGCCGCCCCTCCCCATTGCGCACGCCATCACGTTGCGGGCAAGCCCACCCCAAGGCCACCCAAACACAACTCTTTTAGGGTTTAGGGTTTGCCCTCAGACGCCGGGCAGGCTTAAAATTACTTTTTTGTCTTGGCGCGCGCAGAGCCGACGACGCCGCCGAAACGGAGCGAGGCCACAACGCCGACCGGAGGAAGGCGTTGTGGCCGAGCGCAGGAAAGAAGAGAAGACCCTTTTAAGGTTCGCGCTTGCGCACGGAGATCGACAATGCAGGCAAGTTACTTCAATCGTCCTTGGCGGCAGGGTCCTGCGGGTCCGCGGCCAAAGCGGGCAAAGGATAACCTCGATCCAACATTAGCCGCAGCCACAGAAGAACGTCAAGGCTCGAAGCGACAAAACACCAAGGCCTGCGGACACGCTGCGGAAAGAGGAGTGGCGCAACGGACGACGCGGGCAATTTTTTCGTGCGCGAGAGCACCGTCTTGCGGGGACGAAAGCATTGGCCAAGGGCATCTACCGCACTACACGGCCAACGTCCTGCTCGACCTTGCAAGCCCTGTGACACTGTACACGGGACAACGAAAGCTGTCGTCTGACATGGCAGGCACGAAGTGCTCTGCCTTGATGCAGCCACCTAGAAGGTAGTCCGTATCTTTGCGCACCCGTGACAGCGCGACGTACGCTGCCGCTGCACAGGCCTCACGGTCGGGCCAAAAGGTCACGCGAGGGAGCTCGGCCCCTTGGAACTTATGTACAGTATCGGCGTACCCGGGCCGCAGCGGGTAATATACCGCGCGGCCGACGGGAACCGCGTCGTCCGTGATCGGGTAGACGCAGAGCACCTCCTGCGTCTCCGCGCGCACGACGACCGCGGCAGTCTTCCGGTCGAAGGCAAGCACCGTGGCCGCCATCCCGTTGACATAGTCCAAGGCCTTGGCCATGTTCTTGGTCCTCTTGTAGGACACTCTTGTGGGACACTCTGTGGGAGAGACACTTGTGGGACACTCTTATAGGACACTGTTGTGGAACACTTGTAGGACACTCTTGTGGGACACTCTTGTGGGACACTCTTGTGGGACACTCTTGTAGGACACTCTTGTCGGATACTCGTGTAGGACACTCTCAAGGGACACTCTTGTGAGACACTCTAGTGGGACACTGTTGTGGGACAGTCTTGTAGGACACTCTTGTGGGACACTCTTGTAGGACACTCTTGTGGGACACTCTTCTGGGACACTCTTGTAGGACACTCTTGTGGGTTACTCTTGTGGGGCACTCTTGTAGGACACTCTTGTGGGACACTCTTCTGGGACACTCTTGTAGGACACTCTTGTAGGACACTCTTGTGGGTCACTCTTGTAGGAAACTCCTGTGGGACACTCTTGTAGGACACTCTTGTGGGACACTCTTGTGGGACACTCTTATAGGACACTCTTGTGGAACACTCTTGTGGGACCCTCTTGTAGGACACTCTTGTGGGACACTCTTGAAACTCTTGTGGGACACTCTTGTGAGACACTCTTGTGGGACTCTTGTGGGACACTCCGGCAGTACGCCACATACCCGACTAACGTCCTCACCCAAGAACACTCTTGTAGGACACTTTTGCGGGACACTCTTATAGGACACTCTTGTGGGACACTCTTCTGGACACTCTTGTAGGACACTCTTGTAGGACACTCTTGTGGGTCACTCTTGTGGGGCACTCTTGTAGGACACTCTTGTGGGACACTCTTCTGGGACACTCTTGTAGGACACTCTTGTAGGACACTCTTGTGGGTCACTCTTGTAGGAAACTCCTGTGGGACACTCTTGTAGGACACTCTTGTGGGACACTCTTGTGGGACACTCTTATAGGACACTCTTGTGGAACACTCTTGTGGGACCCTCTTGTAGGACACTCTTGTGGGACACTCTTGTAGGACACTCTTGTGGGACACTCTTGTGAGACACTCTTGTGGGACACTCTTGTGGGACACTCTTGTAGGAAACTCTTGTGGGACACTCTTCTAGGACACTCTTGTGGAACACTCTTGTGGGACACTCTTGTAGGACACTCTTGTGGGATACTCTTGTCGGACACTCTTAAGGGACACTCCTGTGAGACACTCTTGAGCGACACTGTTGCGGGACACTCTTGTGGGACACTCTTGTGGGACACTCTTGTAGAACACTCTTGTGGGACAGTCTTGTCGGACACTCTTGTGGGACACTCTTGTGGGACACTCTTGTGGGACACACTTGTGGGACACTCTTGTGGGACACTCTTGTAGGACACTCTGGTGGGACACTCTTGTGGGACACTCTTGTGCGACGCTCTTGTAGGAAACTCTTGTGGGACACTCTTGTAGGACACTCTTGTGGGACACTCTTATAGGACACTCTTGTGGGACACTCTTGTGGGACACTCTTGTAGGACACTCTTGTGGAACACTCTTGTGGGTCGGGACACTCTTGTGGGACACTCTGTGGGACACTCTTGTGGGACTCTCTTGTGGGACACTCTTGTAGGATACTCTTGTGGGACTGTCTTGTAGGACACTCTTGTTTGACACTCTTGTGGGACACTCTTGTATGACACTCTTGTGGGATACTCCTGTAGGACACTCTTGTAGGACACTCTTGTGAGACACTCTAGACTCTAGCGGGACACTGTTGGGGGACACTCTTGTGGGACTCTCTTCCAGCTCCCCAGATACTCCGCGTACTAAAGTTGTACTACGAAGTCGCCAGTTCTCAGCTTCCAGCTGCACAGATTCCTCCGCGTACTAGTTGAACTACAAGGTCGCCAGTTCTCAGCTTCCAGCTCCACAGATTGCTCCGCGTGCTCAAGTTGTACTACAAAGTCGCCAGTGCTCGCCTGCATTTCGCGCGCTCCACACGCACGATCTCCGCAGAGGGTTGCGCGGGCACCGGACAAATCGCACTCTCGCCTGCATTTCGCGCACTCGACACGCACGATCTCCGCAGAGGGTTGCGTGCGCATGGGGCAAATCGCGCTCTCGCCTGCATTTCGCGCACTCGACACGCACGATCTCCGCAGAGGGTTGCGCGCGCATGGGTCAAATCGCACTCTGGCCTGCATTTCGCACACTCGACACGCACGATCTCCGCAGAGGGTTGCGCGTCAAGTCTCCAAAACGAGCGTTTCGTACGAGACTTCCTCAAAAACTCACACGTCAAAGTTTGCAAAACGAGCGTTTCGTGCGAGACTTCCTCCAAAAGTCAAGCGGAAACACCCATCGGAGCACACACATCACGCAGCCCTGCCAAGCAGTTTCGCGATTCCAGCCCCTCCAAACAACATCCGCTCACACGCCAATCCCAATGTGACAGCGACATTCACCTCTACCACAACTCACACCTCCCTCACACCTCGCAACCTCACGATTCCCTGCGCCTGCCACGAGAATCGCACTTCCACGCTTCAAAACCCGCACGAAGTCCTGCGCCTGCCACGAAAAGTGACAATATCATCGCATGTGAGCTTCAACAAAATTTGCACCACACCACACGTGTGGAATGATTTCGACCCGTTCTGAGCACACTGCCATCCACCAGAATCGCCATTTCAGTTGAGACTTGTCACGAAAACACAGCTTCGATGCCACACCCCGCAACGCAAATCCCAATGGCACGGCCACATCCAACACCCCAAAAACACGACTCTCCAAACGCTAATCCCAATGGAACTGCGGAGTAATCTGCCGATCTCACAAAACGCTGCACCTGTGCAGCGAAACGCATCACGTTTCTCGCGCGACATGTCCTGCTCCTGCAAATCACAATGGATTAGCGGCGCCAACTGACACGTGACACGTCCATGCAAAGTCACTTGCAAAAGCTTCCCCCAATGGCAGCAAATTTGAGACGCGACGACGACGAGAGACGACGAGAGACGACGACAGACGACGAGAGACGAACACAGCTCCAACCCCCAGAACCCCAACTATAAACGGGAACCCTTCGCTGCGCATTCGGGAACAACAACAATCTGAGGATTTGCATCCAAAATGTTAGTCATGTGCTGGAACAGGCAATCCGTTTTGATGGAATTGTCATGAACATTTGGGATGCAACTTGATGATATCTCCAGAGTCTTAAAACTGAAAATTAAGCAATGAAACACTTCAGTGGAACACGGATGCACAAAGCTGTCCGGCAGAACAACAACCTTGAACAACTCATGACAGAATTTGCAAGAACCGTTGTTGGAATGGTCCAGTGCTTTACCGTGCAGTTTCCTCATGTTTTTGCTGCATGTCACCCATGTTTCCCCAGCGACTGGGTTTCGCACACACAAACAATTTCACTTGTAAAATTCATTACATGTTCTGCTGGCCCTTCACCTCTTCTGCATTCGTGTGCGTTCACGTGGACCTTGATTAAGCCTTAGAATTGTTTTACTTTTTAAAAATGTGATGTGCGATCTTATTTTGATTTTATGTGTCGTTTGAGGGATTGGCACAATTTTTCATACTTCAGGATATATTGGGGATGGACATCGGGACAATCACCTCTATTTTGCGCCCTGGCTCATATACACACATAGAGCCATAGATTGTGGCTCGAGAGGTTGTTCTAGACTTGTTTTGAGTTGTGGGATCCTGGACAGTTTGCGCATGTAGCGGACCACAACTTTAGTCCGCCTAGCTACATGGTGTGCATGGGGCAGAGCGGTGAAGAGGCAGGGCGAAATTGCATGAAACAATTCTGAGGGAATGCAAGACTCTTTCAAGCAGACGGGCCATATTGAGGATAGATAGCATAAAGGTGCAACAAACTGCGGCCAACGCCTGTGGTTGAAGTGTTTCATAGACCTATCTTGCAAGTGTAGGCATGGACTTGATCAATGAAGTCGCTTGCACGACTGTAAGCAAATTGAGGGAAAACCAAAGAGGAAGGGTGAACTGTCCATGGCGATGCATGTTCTTTTGGTTGGGTGTGTGTTATGTTTTTGACTCAAGTGCATGAATTTGTCGGAGCACAGAGTCTCCTTGACCAGGGTGCATGTTCCAAATGAGGAACGTGAAGGTTTGGTCAAGATCAAGTTCTCAAAGAACGTTGCTTTGTGCATCCGTGATTGTGGCCACAATGAAGGGCGGCAACGCAACAGTGATCAGCTGTACAGGCTTGCCCACCTTTCCAGGAGGCTGCAATCCAGAACTCATCGGTGGCGCATGTTTCTCAACCGAAACGGCGGTGAACTGGGCATGTGGAGCCTCACAGAGTACAGACTGCCGCAGAGTCCCTGTACCACCAGGCCAAGGTCGACCAAGTCTCCGCCGGCGGACCTATGATGGTTATTGTAGTTTTTTGGGTGAGACAGCGACACAGACTAGCAGTACAGCGACCAGCGTTACAACATCCCTAACCTCGTCCTCTAGCAGCACTACGCTCACAACTTCCAGCACAGTCACCAGAACAACGACTTTGCCTCATCCTCCACCCAGAAGCCCTGTAGCTCAGCATGGTCATTTGAGAGTTGTGGGAAACCAAATTGTTGGTCAGCACAACCAATCTGTGCAGCTCCGCGGCATGTCACTGTTCTGGTCGCAGTGGGGAGGAAAATACTGGAATGAGGAGACGCTGCGATGGCTTCGGAGGGACTGGGGTATTGAATTAATTCGAGCTGCCATGGGAGTGGAACAAGGCGGATACCTCACTCATCCCAAACGGGAGATGCGAAAGGTGAAGCGAGTGGTGTGGGCCGCTTTCCAACTAGGCATCTATGTCATCGTTGATTGGCATGATCACCATGCCATCAAACACACAGAGCAAGCCAAGGTTTTCATCCGTGAAATTGCTAAGAGCTATGGCCACTTGCCGAATGTGCTTTTCGAGACTTTCAATGAACCTACTTGGCAGAGCTGGAGTAAAGAAGTGAAGCCCTACCATGAGGAACTCTTGAAGGTCATTCGGCCACATTCCCCAAACCTGGTGATTTGCGGCACTCCGACCTGGTCGCAAGATGTTGACATTGCTTCCCGCTCGCCTGTCGAAGGCGACAACATTGCATACGCCTTGCATTTCTATGCTGCGACACATGGGCAATATCTCAGAGATAAAGCAAAGATTGCTCTGGATGGTGGTGTTGCTCTGTTTGTATCAGAGTGGGGCACATGTGAGGCCAATGGTAACGGCAGGTTGGACTTCAGAGAGTCCCGAAAATGGATGGATTTGTTGGATGAGTACAATGTGTCACATGCTAATTGGGCTGTGAATGACAAGCAGGAGTCTTGCTCAGCGCTCAAACCCAGAGCTGCCGGAAATGGCCACTGGCCGTTGTCCAAGTTGACCCGCTCTGGAAGATGGGTTCGACGCAATTTGCGGAGAGCTGCTTTTGGAGTAGGCAATGAGACCGCAAATTCCACAAACTCAAGCGAACAAGATTCACTGATATCCACCTCCGAGGCGGATAGAAGGTTACTTTTTTCAGACGATCTTCCAATAGATGCAGGAGTGAGATGCCAGGCGTTTGCTATGATTGGGTTGGGGCTATTGCAAGTTCTGTGACTCATCTGAAGGTGCTGTTCACAGGTTTTATTTAATAGATAGGGACCAAGCTGCAACATAGCGTTGCCCCTATGGCACCACTAGATTTTCTAGCCTTTCTCCGTAGGCTCAACAATTGCCACTCTGTTGAATTCAATTGCCTTTTTTGATGATTCTGGGCTTGCTGAAGGAAGCTTTGCTTCAGCACGCTAGCATTTGAAAACAATCAGATTCAGAGTTGGCAGTATCCCGAGCAGCATCTCCTAAGCATGAGATCTGCCTAATGGCACTGTGCATGAAAGACGCCCTCATTTGAGGAACCGTCAGTCTAGTTCAACACACTGCAGACTTGCTTCGTGATGAGCCTCCGCAAGTTCTGCATGAAACTGAGGTCGCATGAAACTTTTTCGTTCATTCTGTTTCTCTTGACAACAGTCTACGCTATTGCTTGTTGTTGTGAAGTTCCATGCAGGCCGATAGCTGCCCAGTCCTTTGCAACCCCGGCATAGCCTTTTGAAAGTCACTCTTTCCAAGTTACTTGGAGGAGAGTGGAGAGGGTGCAAAACATTCATCCAATGCATTTCGAGAAGTGCCCAAATGATTTTGCTTTTCAATTCCAAATGGAAAACAAAAAGCTCGAAATCATATGACAGATGTATAGTATGTAATTACATAGAATACATCAACAAGACACAGAAAGTCGAATCCTTAAAGTCTGAATGCTTGGATGCGTGTAATTTGCCGTAGCAGACACCAAGTGCCTGACTCATTGGCTTGGACGGCTTTCTAGGGATTCCACCCTTGAGGGGCGCTTGCTTTGGCTGCAAATGCACAGCGAATGAGTAGCAAGCATCTGCAGTGCGCGAAAGATCGAGAAAGCCAGTGACATACGGAGTTAGTAGCATATTGTGTGAACATTGCCCGCATCTTCCTGCAGAAGTTGATCTGATCGCTCTGCCAGGTCAACTGCGAGCTAAACAACCGAGTCATACCAATGAGCTGAACATGCCCAGGGAGACAATGCTGGAAAGCTTTGGGGCCACGCTCTGGTGCTTTGCAGTGAGAACATTGGCACCACCCTGTGGGCTTTGATTTCGTGGATGTTTCAAGACAGATCACGTCTTCCGTTCAAGCACAAGGCCGGATGGTTCGAGGGTTTCATGAGAAACCTGAAAGATCACTAGTCACTAGTATCAAGCAATGGGCCTTCCGTTGTGCTTAAGTCATTTGTTATTGTTTTCTGTCATTGCAAGGTTATGTGTCACTCTTCTTTTGAGCAGCTTTGCTCTCTCCTGCATTTCAAAAGCTCTCACCTCTGTCTCATTTACTATGTGCCCTCCTTCTTGGAGATTGTGTTCCTTTTCATACCCTCTTCTCTCGAACTCGAACTTTTTACTCAAACTCTGTTGCCCTTATATTATCTCTATATTTGTTGCCTCCTGTGCCAACTCCATGACTTTCGAGGCCCCAAGTGTGTCAAACACAATCTTCTGGCTCCTCAAAGCCACTGTGTCACTGTGTTCATTCCTCAAAGATCATCTTTCTCTGCGAGGCATCCTTGATTCAACCAAGAGTTGCTCCTGCTTCTTTAGCATTTTCTCCAAAGCTCTTAGCCCTTTGTGCACCACTTTGGCCGAATCTCATTCCATCCTTCGCAAAACTGGTCAGGCAGAAAGGCATGCGTGCAACATTGATCAACGTGTCTATGTACATATTATATCATGGAATTACACGTATATACGGGGCTTACGCCCAACAGCGGGCCAGCAGGGGGTTCAGTGGCAGGTGGCAGGGGCAAACAGGTGACTTGTTGTCGTTGTGGTGGTGGTGGTTAGTTAGTTAGTTAGTTAGTTAGTTAGTTAGTTAGTTTGTTTGTTCGTTCGTTAGTTGTGTAGTTAGTTAGTCAGTCAGTCAGTTAGTTAGTGTTAGTGTTAGTGTTAGTGTTTGTGGTTGTGGTTGTGATTGTGGTTGTGGTTGTGGTTGCTGGTGTTGTTGTTGCTGTTGCTGTTGCTGTTGTTGTTGGTTGTTGTTGGTTGTTGTTGGTTGTTGTTGGTTGTTG